TGACATAATGTGGGCGCCACCGGCCCTGCCTGCCACAGACCTCTGTGCAATGAGCATTTTCTTAGGGTGGAGGGCTCAGGATGAAATCTAGATGGGCTTTTGAACCTCGAAGATCAATCCGACTTGTGATTCACCTTCTGCAGACTCAAACCTCGAAAATCAATTGAAACAACATTTCAGCTTTCGCCCTTTGCCCTCCACCCAAGGACAATGCTCGTGTGCAGAGCACGCACAACCAAACCGGAGGTTCAACCGACATGAGCCGCAGGAGCGGCGCAGAGCGCGGCGAGGGCGCGGGTCTCCTGCAGCGCAGCCGCCGCGGCGTCGCACGAGGCCCGCAGCTCCGCCAGCAGGCGCTGTCGCACCTCCGCCACCGTGTCGGAGGTCCAGCAGCCCAGCGCTCTGGCGGCCCCGGCCTGCCCGTCCAACAAAGGGGGGTCGGGCCAGGAGGTACGGCAAGCAGGAGCCGCCCGCGCGTGCGCCGAGAACGGTGCCCGAAGAGCTCGCCTTGCTCCGCCTCGCCCCTCTCCCCCCCCCCAACAACACCCCTCGCGTCCGTCTGGGGCATCAACCGCGATCGCCTCGAGTCGCGCCGCCAGCACCCCCCCCCCGCAGGTGGCAGGTGGCAACGAAGACAGAAACAAGAGCGGGAACATGCTCAGCCTGCGTCCTCTGCCGATGGTGAGCGTGTTCTTATTCGGCGTTTCGACATTGGTCGGAAGGAGGGGGAGGGGGGGGGCTCTGGCTCCGGACCTCTGCTTAATGCGACTGTTTGCAGCAGTACATCCTATGGAGACTCCACCTGCTCGAAACAGGCCAAAAACAGCCAAGATCTACTACATGGGGAGGTGGGGGAGGGGGGGGCGAGGGCCCGAACCGATCCGAAAAACAATGACAAAAAAAACGATCACGTGCTCAGCCTGCCTCTCTGCCGATGGGAAAGATCCAAGAAGATGACCAAACGATCTCGGCGGCGACGACAAACACGAGCAGGCCCAGAGCCCAAGTCACTGCTCATCGCCTATAGGGCGCTGCTGCGTGACTGGCCCATCCGGGCACTCCTCCATCGTAATCCTACATCATTGCGACCTCAGTCCCCGCCTTCGTGCAATCTTCAAGCCTCGGCTGGGCAAAACAAGTTTGGGCCCCAACTTGGGGATCTACGATGGGGGGCGTCCATCATCCACAGGGATGCGTCCGAATAGCCCTCAAGGGGCGTCTCCCCCCAACTTTCCCTTTCATTTTCCAGCGGCCTGACCGTTCTCTGACAGCGTCTCGCTATGATAATATATTGTATAGAAAACAAGAGATACCCGCAGGGGTGACGGAGAGCCCGTGCCCGCCCAGTGCCGGCAGCGACTTCGCCCGGGACGTCCGCGATGTCTGCAAGGATCCCGCTCTCGCCTCAGTGCCGGCTACATTGAAGTGGCCCTGGGACACACAAATAAATACACACAAATAAAAACATTCCCCATATTTTCCTATATTTTCTGAGTTTTTGTCTTCCCCCCCACTTCCCATATCTTCCCATATTTTCTGGAAAACCGACGATTAATTGTGTCTGTGTGTTTCTTTCCCTCCTGATACATTCTCTTGCTCTGGACGGGAACGACCCTCTGCAGAAACCATTACGGAGGTGCACGTGGCCTGGTCCGGGCAGCCACGATCCCCTGTGATAAATACACTTAGGCCGGCCCTGTCCCCCAACTGGGGGGTTTTGGACGATCTGTATATATATATATATATATATTACAGATATTCAACAGATGCCCAAAATTACTCAAACAAAAAGTCCCCGTGGACCATTTTTGAATACTCCCCCTGCAGAGGGACAGGCCCGACGCAAAAGTACACTCAGGTGCACGTGGCCTGGCCCAGGCGGCCAAGGCCCCCAGCAGCCACAACGCCAAGGTTCGCACCTCCGTGCTCCCGCCCCTGCCGTGCCCGTCGGCGTCCCCGAGAATCCCCAGGACTGCCCAGGAGCGCCTGCCTTCGCTCACCGACGGCCTCCGACCCCTCGACCCGCCTGTTCGACTGGAAACTGGGACACACAACAATATATCTGTATATATATATATATATATATATACATATACATATATATATATATATACACACATAACCGGATTCCCCACAGGTCCCGATCTTTTCGTGGGTTTCTGCCTTCCCCCCCCCACTTCCCATATGTTTCCATATTTTCCTGGGAATCGGCGATTCGTTCCCATCCTGACTGTTTACCTCTGCTGGTATTGGGGTGCTTTGCCGAGCCGACCATGGGACAACTCAACGACTGGAAGAAAAAGCATCGCCCGTGGCCATCGGCTGCACGAAAAAGAATCCCGTGCGAAGAAGTAGTACAGCAGTTCTCTGGATGGGGCAATGATCACCCCCCCCTCGGATCCGCTGGGGGGGTTGGGCACGTGCTGTCGGAATGTGTGGAGGGGGGGGAGGAAGAGGCGAAGGATGAGGAGGGGGAGGACGGAGGGGGGCGGGATTGGGCAGGCTCAATCAGGAGGTGAATCACTCCAACATTGATTGAACAGGCTATCCAGAGTTGGTGTCGTGATGCATTCGGCGGTGGCGTCTGACTCCTCACTCAATTTTGAACCATCGCGTACTGAGCATCGTTTATCCGACCACCATCCCCAGCGGCATGGCCTGGGCCCCATTGGCCGATTGACCCCCCTAGATGGGGATATAGGCCGTTCCCTTCGGATTTCGAGGGGCGTATCTCCAACTGGGGGTAATTTGGTGGGGGTCTCGAAAGGGATGGGGACGGGGATCGGGATTGGTTAAACGATACCGGCCGGCAACACGGATCACATCGACAGCGGCCGATTCCGGGCAGCCGGCAGCGTTCACCAACATGAATGCCCGCGCTGGGGGGCCGCTGCCGCTTCTCGACGCGACTCGAGCCTGCTGCCCACATAGGCAAGAGCGACCCGAGGCAAAACGACCTTCTGGTGGGCGGCTTTGGGAGGAGGGCATTGCGGACCAAGGCGAAGGCAGGAGTGACCCGTGATGGGCCTGTTTTCCACCACCACCGCCATAAGTTGGAGGGGGGAAGGAGGTGGAGGACGAGGAGGAGGAGGAGGAGGAGGAGGAGGACGACGACGACGACGACGAAGAGGAGGAGGACCCCCTCGCCCTCCAACTTATGGTGGTGGTGGTGGAAAACAGGCCCATCACCCGAGGTAAAACGACCTTTTGATGCGCGGCTGTGGGGGGGAGAGGGGGACTGGGGACCAGGGCGGAGCTTCCAGGGATCGGATCGTGTGCAAGGATCGGGGGACCGCAGTGGTCGGGTCGGACGAAAGGGAGGCAGTAAGGGGCGGACGTTAGCGAACCAGCTCGCGTGGCTGATTCTCACAGCGCCGCCTCCGTGCGCCGGAGGCGCCAGTGTATCATGGAAAGCGCCCGGACGCGAGGCCGAAACCAGCTGTGCGCAGCATACTGCGAAGCCCCCCTCCGTTCGAAGGTCCTCAGAACGTGCGTTGGCGCCAACGTGCGTTTGACCATCGATACCTCTCCGTGCGACGCAGGTGGTGTCACGATCTGTCGGTGCAGCCGGACGGGTAACCACACACTGGTCTAACACGCGTCCTGTGGATCGTCGGCCCCTTCCCTCTGCCCCCACAGCACGCAACGCCCGAGCTGGGCCAGTGGGCCACACGAGAGGCTCATTACTCTGGCGACAGGCTCTCCTACGTCTAGTCGCGCCAGGGGGGAGGGAGGCAGGAGGTCGCGGGGTGCCGGCCCGCTGCTCTGGGCGTCCTCGGAGGGCCCAGGGTGGACCTCGGAGGCCCTCGAAGAGGCCTTTCTCGCAGCTCGACGAGAACGAGGAGGAGGGTCGGGTCGACGAGAACGAGGAGGAGGAGGAGGAGGAGGAGGAGGAGGAGGAGGAGGAGGAGGAGGGACGGCCCCCCGCCCCCACACCCGACGCCACCGCCCCCCCCACCCCCTGTGGGTGTGGGGGGGTGCTGCGGCACTGCCTCCCTGCCTGTGGGTGTGGGGTGGTGCCGACCCCCCGCCCGGTGGTGGGGGCGCGGGATCGGCATCGGCACAGTCGTCGTCGTCTCCCCCATGCCTCCCCCTCTCCAAGCTGGAATACGCAGGACGTCGTCGTCGTCGTCGTCCCACGGGGGGGGGGCGCGGGACCGTGGGCCCGAAGCCCAGGACATACCACCCAACCGCCCCTGACCGGGCCCATCCTTTGCCCAAGAAAAGTGTGTACGTGCTCCTTGCTCCAACTGGCCATCCAAAACCCCTCAAGGCCATGGAAGACCCCATGGGGGGCCTCATACGCATGATACTGGTCCACCCGTCCTGGATTGAGCCAGCCAGGTGATGGTCAGGACCCTGTAAACAAGGCCCTCTGATCAACTGGGATATTGGCACGCCTGAGAAAACAGCAGTCGCGCATCGTAACATTCTCAACCAGTCGTTCACTTCCGTTGGATCTGGCGAAGTCCTGGTTTGCAGCGTCATGGCTTCCAGGGTCCTGAGGCGGAAACCATGCCAATCCTGGGCCCAGTGTCGGTGAGCACGCACTCCTGGCCTGGCTGCAACAACACATGACAGACCAGTGAGTAAGTCATTTACTGTGAGGAGCCTGGGGCCGACTCTCATCGGCAAAGCACTGGAACGCGCGACTTGGTGACCCTGCAAGCGGGTAGCAAACAAAAAAAAGGAAAAAAACAAAAAAACACAAAAAAACATAACAAAAAATAAATAAAAAAAAAAAAAAAAAAACAGAAAAGAAAAAGATTACAAACAAAACAATTAACAACACAAACAAACATACACAAAACAATGCAAAAGCCAAAAAAAACACCCCCCCCCCCACCCCACCCCCCCCCCATCCTCCCCCACCCCCCCCCATGCTCTCTTACAACCCCACCTCCCCGCCCCACTACCTCCCCCACCCCACCGCCCATACCACCTTCCCCCAACTCCTAGCCTACCCGCCCTTCAAGCCGTACGCGCCGTAGCTTGTACCACTATCTCCCTCCTCCGAACGCGGACAGCACCATACCTTGTGAGCGTCGAGTCCAAAGAAACAATCGCACGGTCGAGCAGTCGACAACTACATCTTTCACCCCCCAACTCCCCCACCTCTCCTCCAGCCTCGTTCTCCATCTCCTCCTCCCACCACCATCCCACTCCTACCTCCTCATCCTCCTCCATCAACTCTTCCATCCCCCCTTACAGAGTAAAAAACAATATTCCCCGAGGCGGACCCAGCTGGCGACGAGGGAAAGGTGACGGGATCCCTCCTCAGACGAATCTGCGAGCTACGAGCGACCCACGACGACGACGACGGCGACGACGACGACACGAGCAGCGAACGACCCACCGACCGACTGAACGGCGACGGCGAGGGCGCCGTCGGCGAGCCCCGACAGGCCCTGCTCGCGCGGCAGAGCCGCGCCGCCCGCGTACAGCGCCAGCCCGGCGGCGTCCGCCACGCCCAGCTGCCGCGCCACCTCCGCGTAGAGTTCCTGTGGGGCGTGAGGCCACGTTGGCTAAGCAGGCATCTCTCGGGTCGGGCGAAATGGGGGGATAGCGAAGGGGGGGTTTGAGAAGCAGCTCACGCAGCTGATTTTCCTGGCCTCTCCCGGCGCCGGAGGCGGCTATGTATCCAGGAATGGGCCCCTCGGTGAGGCCGAAACCAGCTGCATGCAGCAAATTTCGTACCCCCCCCTTTCCCAATCCCCCCCTTTCGTCCAGCCCGAATCTCCTGGAAGGTCTGCGTAAGAGCGAGTATGTGCTTCTCGCTGCAGCCGGGATGAGCAAGCTCAGCAGCCAGATGCGGACCAGACCAGACGAGGCATCTCACAGACTTGTGTCTCTGCGTTTGTCCTGCAATCGATGCTGCTGGCAGGTTGCGTCGGGTTCGGAACAAACAGCCAGCGGCTCAGAGCGACTGAGGGATACCAAGCCCGCTTCAAGGGCCATCAAACCGGATGAAGTCAAATTGAGCGGGGAGATGGGCCGAATGAGCTGGGAGTAAGCAGTCCAGGGCTAAAGGGAATTATGCTGGAGTAGGCTGACTTTCGACCACGTCTTTACCACAACGCCGATACTGAATCTAAGCTCCCAGCAGCTGCATCTTAATCAAAGGGAGGAAACAAACGAGAGCGGGGGGAAACAGGCGCACCTCTCCAGCCGAAGCAACCCGTGCAGGGCCCCTTTCGGGCCACATTCTCCAGCAACCCTCGCTCCTAGAGGCCTCCCATATGGGGTTTAAGCAGATGGGGTCAGAGGATCGCGCCGCATCGTCGACGCATCACCGATGCATCGGCGACGTCGGCGATGCATTGGCGATGTGCTGGCGACGTAGGCGTGGAGAAAACCGGGCTCCGTCGCCGATGCGTCGGCGATGCGGCGCGATCCTGCGACCACACCTGCTCGAACCCAGTCTGGGAGGCCTAGAGCTCCCCCCCCTCGTGGTGCCCCCCTTCGGTGGCTCACAGATGGGGGCCCCGAGGGGTGGGGTCCCGAGGACGAGGTGCCTCGGACAACGCCAATCCACCCCTGGGACCCCTCTCCTGTCCTCGAGACCCCAGCCCTCCGGGCCCCACCTTTTCGAACCACCGACCACTGCTGCCGAGAGCCCACACCCTGCGAAATGCTCAAGAAATCATGGGTTAAGAAATTCATAGGTTCAAAACTTGCATAAAAAACCAAACATTTCTATTAAAAGCTTAGGATTTACATTGAAACATTAAGAATCATCGAGACTCTGGCCGAAAACTTAAGTTTTCTTAAGCATCGCCTAAGGTGCACCCCGCGGGCGCCTCCGGCCGCCGCTCGCGCCAGAGGCCCCGAGGGGAGGCGGGCCGTCGGACCGCTTCCGTGCTCGGGGGCCCGCGGGCGGTGTGGCGACCACTCCGCGCGGTGAGCCAGCGGGGAGTCGGGGCCACCGCACGGTCTTGCTAGGCGACGAGCCCAGGGGGGAAATGAGAAGGAGAAGGCCTTCTCAGAGGGCCGCGGGACTTCTTAGAAGTCCGGGGGGCTTCTGAGACGTCTCCCTGGCCTGTTTCGAACACAGGCAGAACTTCTCAGAAGCCCTCTCAAGAATCATCCCAAACTTCTCTGAAAAAAAAACAAAAAAACAAAAAAGTATAAAAAAGAAAAAAGAAAAAAAATAAAAAAAAAAATAAAACAAAAGAAGAATAAAAAAAAAAAAAAAAAAAAAAAAATAAAAAAAAGAAAAAATAAAACAAACAAAACACAGAAAAAAAAAAAAAAAAAAATAAGAAAAAAGAAAAAAAAAATAGTGAAACAAACAACCCCCACAACAACCCCACCCCCCCCCCCCACCCCCCCCCCACCCAACCCCGCCCCCCCCCCCCCCCCCCCCCCCCCCCCCTCCTGTCCTCACTTCCTACCCGCCCCAACACAAAACCCCGCCCCTCTCCCGCCAAGCATTAGAGCCCGAACCGCATCGACACGTCTATCGCGATCTAAAATCGCCAGCCCCAACGTGCCTAGGCCGTGCGGAGTTTTAAGTTCTCTGCCGCGTGTCCTACCCATAGTGAGAACCAGGAATCAAAAGCGCCCTGCCTGATCACCGGCCAACCTTTACTCGGAGATGATTTCCCCCTCTGGGTGCGGCCTCTCAGGCCCCCCTGAGCGCGCCAAGAGAGCCCCCAAGACGGTCCAAGGGGGCCCCGAGTCACCGAACGATCAGTCCAAGACCCCAAGATGGCCTCCAGACTGCCCAGGCACAAATTAGTAATGTTACCACGTTTTTGAAGGATTGGGACGTTCTCGTCTTTTCGACTTACCGGCGCTCCAAGACGGCCTAAGAGGCCCCCAAGATCACCCCAACACGGCCCAAGAGGCCTCCAAGAGAGCCCCAAAACGGCCCCAGACCGCTCCAAAACGGCCCCAGAGGCGCCCAAGATCGCCCAAGGCCCCAAGACGGCCCCAGGAGAGGCCCAAGAGGGGGAACACGAACTACCAATTCGAGCCTTCCGCCCCAAGAGGCACCCAGGAGGCCCCAAAAGGCCCAGAAGAGCCCAAGAGAGGCCAGGAGGCCCCCTTGAGGCCCCTTGAGGCCCCGAAGAGTTCCCAAAAGAGACTCCCAAAGGCCCCCAAACGGCCACCAAGAGGCCCCAAGAGGCCACGATCGCGCAGGCAAACGCCTGCCGGCGGAATGAGCGAAGCGACGAATACATCGGGTCGGCAGAAATCGGCAGCCAAATCGGGAGATGTCGAATCGGCGGAAATCGGCAAGCTAGATGCCTCCTATGAGAAAGCGGACGGTTGTGGGACTCGGGTCGTTCTCCGAAGACGTCTCGAGCAGCTGGGGCCTCCGAGGCCCCAGAAACCGCGCGGCGACGGACCGCGCGGTGAGGCCAATGGGAATTCCGAGATCACCGCGCGGTCCGTCACCACACACAAGTTTGGGCCCCGCACGTCTCCTATGTTCGGGGGCGGCCAAGAGAGGGGGCGTCCAAGAAGGGGGGGGCGCAAGTCGTGGCCGGAGGCACCTGTGCGGCCCAGGGGGGTGCTGGGGGCGTATTGAACTAAGAGGAGTCGCGATGAAGTTTGGGGAGACATCATGGCCCCAACCTTGCCGTCGCTCGGACGTCCATTTCCCGTGCATTTTTCGATGTCGTGCGTGTTTCTTTTTCGCTCGATGGTCCAGGAGGGTCCCCGATGGTTCTCGCCGAGAAAAAAGGCACACGTCCGAGCGATGCCAAGCCACCACCCTCCCATCCCCCCACCCCTCGTCACCATCCCCCGCTGGGCTGCCCCCGATCTGGTGTCGGCTTGTCCGTGAGCGGCTCGGGAGGCAGAGCCGGTCCGCCAGGGGGCAGCCCCGGGGCCCAGGGCCCGCTCCCCACTCGGGGCTCGTCTCGGGCTCGTGCTGCACGGGCCGGAGAGCACACGAGGCGTCGGAGGATCGCACCGCGTCCCCGAGGCATCGTCGGCGCCGTCGGGATGGAGGAGATCGGGCCCCAGATCGCGACGCGGTGCCGATGCGTCGGCGATGCGGGTCGATTCGCTCGCCCCGTCTGCTCCAGCCCCACGTGGGCGGCCTGGAGCGTCCGTCGCCGAAGCCGCCGGTGTCTCAGAGATCGTGGAGTCGGGAAAACTTTCGCCGTGTTCGGCCTCCATTGTGGGCCCGTTTCGGGTGTCCTCAGTGCCGTCGCCTAAGTAATCCTCTAAGCCCAAATCCTTACTCCTGAGGAGTCTCTGAGGGGCCCGGACCTGGAATTGCCAAATCTCTCAGGGCTTGTCGCGTGCCCCCTGGGGTTCCTCGCGTCTTCCCGCGTGACATTCTCGGGCCCAGGAGGGGCCCAAGACGGGCCAAGACGACCGCCAAGAAGGTCCAACAGGGCCCCGAATCGCCGAGCGATCGCCCCAAGACGCCCACCCCAAGACGGCCCAAGAGGCCGCCAAGTCGCCTCAAGAGGCCTCCGAGAGGCCTCACAAGAGGGTCACGAAAGGCCAAAGTCATGAACTTTACTTTGGTTTTGAAGGATTTTGGTGTTCTCGCCTTCTTCCCGACGCTGCAAGACTGCCCAGGAGGCCCCCAATATCGCCCCAAGACGGTCCCAGAGACCCCCAAGAGGGCCCCAAGATAGCCCAAGAGGGCCCCAAGGCGGCACAAGAGTCGCTCAAGACGACCCAAGAACGGCTCCAAGAGGGATCCCAGATGGGGAATCCGAACGGACAGTTCGAACCCTCGGCTCCGAGAGGCCCCCAGCAGGCCCAAAGAGGCCCCAAGAGGCCAAGACGCCCCAGGAGGTCCCAAATAGGCCCCCAAGAGGCCCCCGAAGGCGCTGCGAAGAGACCACAGGAAGCATCCCCGAGAGCTCTGACCCACAACCCTGGCACGGTGGCGGGATGGGCCAAAGGCCATTAGATAGACCCCCAGAGGTGTCCAGTACTCAAGCTTTGTTTCTATACTGAGCACGTCCAAGGGAGAATATCAAGGGTCACCACCAGAGGGGGGTGCGCTGTGGGCCCTTAGCAGGAATGGCCACCATCTGAGTCCACCAATGCTGTGCGACGGTGCCTCCGCGAATTAAATATCTGGGCTGTCTTCTGTTCAACTCTCGGACAGAGCGGGCCCGGGTGCTTAGCCAGGATCAGATTCTACCCTCTCAGGGGCAGCTTGTACACAACAACCACGTCTCAGAGAGGGTATGTTGTGTGTCAGACCCATCGCCAGGAGGGCCTGCGCCACCCTCACTCCCGAGGTTCTTCGATGATCGCCGCTGCCCCCGAGGCATCCCGTGGCGCGACGGCCCACTTGCCAACAGCGCGCCAACCATAGCAGGACTTGGGCTAGGCAGTCAGGAGGACAGTAAATCGAAGGGCGCGCCGAATCTAGAACTGGACCCAACCTGGGAGGTCTCGGGCGTATTGCACTAACAAGTTGAAGTCCCAGGGATTGCTGCTGAGGTGCGGTCGAGATGCGGGTCGATCTCCCGGCCCCACCTGCTCCAGCCCCACTTGGGCTGCCTGGCTGCCTGGAGTCGCTGCCGCCGCCGTCGGTGTCTTGGAGATCGATGAGCGAGTAAGTCTTACGCCGCTTTCGGCCTTCATAGGTGAGGTGCAACTTTCGGCCTTCATAGGTGAGGAACGATCGGGAGGAGGAGGAGGGGGAGGGGGAGGGGCAGGAGGAGGAGGAGGAGGGAGGAGCAGGAGGAGGAGGAGAAGGAAGATGAGGAGGAGGAAGGAGGGGAGGAGGAGAAGGAGGAGGAGGAGGAGGAGGAGGGGGGAGGGAGGAGGAGGAGGAGGAGGAGGAGAGGAGAGGAGGAGGAGGAGAGGAGGAGGAGGGAGGAGGAAGGAGGAGGAGGAGGAGGAGGAGGAGGAGGAGGGAGGGGAGGAGGGAGGGAGGAGGAGGAGGAGGAGGAGAGGAGGAGGAAGGAGGAGGAGGCGGAGGACGAGGAGAGGAGACGGAGGAGGAGGAGGGGGAGAGGAGGGAGGAGGAGAGAGGAGGGAGGTAGGAGGAGGAGGAGGAGGAGGGAGGAGGAGGAGGAGGAGGAGGGGGGAAGGCCCAGGGATGGACCTCGAGGCGTGGCCGAGGAGCAGGAGCGGCGGCGGCGGCCGCGCGCGCGGGGGCGCCCGAGAGCCTGGCCCTGCCCGGCGGGGGCCACGTCCACGCCCACGTCGAAGGGGCTCGCGGGGCACAGCTCCTGCGGCAGGGGGGCTCGCGGGCGGGAGCCGGCGGGGCTCGCCAGCTTGCCGTCGCTCGGGCGTCCACTTCCCGTGCATTTGTCGGTTTCGTGCGTGTGTTTTTTGCTCGATGGTCCAGGATGGTCCTCAAGGGTCCTCGCCGAGAAAAAAATACACACGTCCGAGCGATGCCAGGGAGCGGCGGATCCGCATCCGCCCTCGAGGTCTGGACCCGGGGGCGCGATCCCGCGCGGAGAGGCGGCGGCGCGAGAGCGCGGTCCGCGCGGGGCATCTGCGGGCAAGAGCGCCCCGGACCCGCGGCGTCGCGGCCCAAGGGCCGCGCCCGAGAGGCCGTGGACGCGGGTGTGCTTCGCCCACGAGACGGGAGTCGGCGGGGCTCGGCTGGGAAAGCTCGGCCGCGGAGCAAGCAAGGGCAGGCTCACCAGCCTCGAACTTATGCCTATCCCTAAGATTGACACGCCAGAAGGCGATGGCAATCTTAGGGATGCGCCCCCAAAAAATGAAGGGAATCCCTAAGATTGGCATCGTGATGAGGAGATGCCCAGCATAGGGATAGGGATATGCTCCAGGCTGGTGACAGGCTCACCACCGCTTGTGGGAGGGAAGGGCAGCAGAGCGGCAGGAGAAGGACAGCCGTTCGAAGCTCGACCTGCACCGCCCAAGCCCAGGCCGTCCAAAACTGAAGGGGCCCTGGGACACACAAATAAAAGGATTCCCTATATTTTCTCATATTTTCTGGGTTTTTGCCTTCCCCCCCACTTCCTATGTTTTCCTATATTTTCCTGGGGCTCGACGATGAATTGTGTCTGTGTGTTTTTTTTCTCCTGAAAAACGGGCCTACAAGACCTGCCACAATCGTGCATGCCCATGGGGCGAGGGGAGCGGATCGTGGACAGAGGGGGCACTGGAAGCGTCTCACCGTTTCCAGACCCTCGGGGCCCTTCATGGGCCCCAGGACCGTCAACGGAACGACTTCAGATGAGGAACAGAATGCGAAACACCGGCAGGAGCAGAAGTCGTCGGAGGCCCGGGCAGAGTTCTCTGGTGGGCGCCGGAACTCCCTGGCGGCGGCGCCCCAGGACCGTCAACGCAACGACTCCACATGAGGAACGTAGTACGAAACATCGGCAGGAGCAGAAATCGTCGGAGGCCCCGCGCGGAGTTCCCTGGTAGGGCGCTGGACCTCCCTGGCGGCGCCTCCCCATGGCGCCCCCCACGCCCCAAAGGAGGCTCCAGCGCCGATCCCACAAATCTGCGCGGACCTCCAAGAGCTTACGCTTATGCTGCTCCCTCATTGATCGAGCCGCTCATAATACGGTAATGGTAGGATGTGGGATTTAGAACAACGGCCCCGGATTTAGAAAACCCGTCCTTGAATTTAGAACACCGCATCCTGCGTTCACTACATGATGTGCCGTCTTGTTCTGACTCGGCGGCGCAACATCTGGCACATCGGTGCCTCGCTTCAGCAGATCAGCGCTTCTTCCGTACTCTGTTCTGCGAGCGCGCGCCCCTTCCTTGCCACGACCTGCGCTATAGCCGATGGCTCACTGTGCATATATGTGGTCCGTGCCGCCGCCGTCGTGGCCGGCAGGGGCGCCGGCGGCCTCGAGGCGCCGGCGGCGGCGAGGGGGCGCCGGCGACGGGAGGAGGAGGAGGAGAAGAGGAGGAGGAGGAGGAGGAGGAGGAGGAGGAGGAGGAGGAGGAGGGAGGAGGAGGAGGAGGAGGAGGAGGAGGAGGAGGAGGGGAGGGAGGAGGAGGGGAGGAGGAGGGAGGAGGAGAGGAGGAGGAGGAGCGGGGCGACGGCGGGCGCGGCGCGAGGGCGGCGGCGGCGGCGGCGCAGGGAGGGGCCGCCGCGGCCACGGCCCCCCCGCGGCGGGCGCCTCGGCCGCGTGCCAGACGCGGGCCTCGCAGCCGTCGCGGATGCCGAGCTCCGCCAGCGTGCTGCGGACCGGTGTTTCGTCGGCTGCAAGGAGGGTCGAGGAGGAGGATCGAGGAGGAGGATCGAGGAGGAGGATCGAGGAGGAGGATCGAGGAGGAGGATCGAGGAGGAGGATCGAGGAGGAGGAGGAGGAGGAGGAGGAGGAGGAGGAGGAGGAGGGCAGGGGGGGGGCGATGGGGAGTGCGAGCGAGCGAGGGAGGTCAGGGGGAAGAGAGGGGGGGCAGGAGCGTGGAGAGAGACGAATCGGGAGGGAGGGAGGGAAGCAGAGCAAGGAGGAGAGAGAACCGATGAACATCGAAGCGGGCATGAGGGAGAGGCACAGTGGGACGAGGGAGGGAGAAGGTACCTTAGGGAGAATTCGCGAGGAGGGAGGCCTGCGAGCAGGAAAGAGGAGGTATGCTGATGTTATGGCTCGGCAGTGCTATCATCAAATGTCTCAAAATGCGTCTGTGCACCATTGCGACTGCACGCAAAACTTGCCCGAATGAAGCAACGACGACGCCGAACCGCGCATGCAATACGCGAACAGCTGGCATGCAGTCAGGCAGTCCGGCCGGAATTCGCAGAGACACGCGCGCGTGCAAGGCATGCCACATCACAAACGGGCGAGTGGTGGCACAGCCAACAGCAAGACTGGCCATCGCTCGGACGTCCATTCCCTGTGTTTGTTTCGCCAAATGATCAAGGATGTTCCTAAATGGTCCTCGCCGAAGGTAGGATGCACACGTCTGAGCGATGCCAAGAAGAGGATGAGCGTGCCCCTTCCCGATGGGCGCGGTCGAATGCCTCGACATCGGTGCGTTGGCCACGGCGGAGGCGGGTCCTGCACTGGGGTCGCCCAGCATTTCGTCCTGCTGGAATCCGAGAGATGCGCAATGCACCGCAGACGCTGGCAAAACATAGTTTGACAAACAGTCGAGTAGGGGATCAACTACAGAATTGATTGACCCCAACATTGATTCTCCATCGCATCTACGACGAAGACCTAGAAGGTTCAGCAATCGACTGAGACTTCTGAAAATTTTGTCAGATTCGACGAGAAAGCCAATGTTGGGATAAATCAATTCTGTAGTCGATCCCCTACTCGAAACAGGGCAACAGGCAGCTTCGTCTACATGCATTCTGGCGGAGTATCGAAACTGGCGCACCACTTTCTGCTGCACCTCCCGAGCCCTGCTCGTTGGAAACACAGGGGCCGCAGGACAGAAACTTCGCGAAAATGGTGTGCACGGGCGCGCGCGACTGGGCTGTGCCTGGTGGGCTAGCTGGTCACGCGCAGACGACGAGAAGAAGACGCCCGGCACCACATCTCTCCACGGCGCGGGCTCTCTCACCATGAACTCCCGCCGCACGTCACTTTGCGCGAGGGGGTCAGGGGGCCGGGGGAAGGTCGGCACGCGCCCCCACGCCACGCGCCCCCACGCACGCCTCAGATCGTCGCAGATGTGCACAAACCAGTCGAGGGCCTTGGCACGATGCCAAGATAGGACGACAGCCTGCAGCGGACGTGGAGCGCAATGCGCCTGACGAGCGACATGCAACAGGCGCTCGCGAAGGAGAGGGCGATCGAGCGACGGGACCCCGATCAACTCGCGGGATGCTGGAGGTAAGTATCCGTGGCCTCTCCAAGCTGGAGTCTCTAGCAACCCTGCGCAGAACGCGCGGGCGTGCGCCGCTGAGCGCACGAACGCACCGCGGCGTGCAACGCATGATGCGACTATAGAACAAGAGCCCACTGTGGATCAGCAGAGCGTCGGTGAGAGCGAGGCGAAGGTTCACGTAGAGGTCGCTCACTCCAAGTGGTCCGTGATTGCGGTCATCATCTCGCTTCAGACGGCCAAGCTGCATGTTGGGCTGGTGCGAGTTAGCGCTGAACGCAACCGAAGCAAACAAGCCTTTGGATGAATGCCAGCTAAAAGGACACATCGGAACTTATCAGGGTAATATGTGCTTCCTTTCTTTAATGCATGGTGGCGAACGAGCATGCCACCTGTCCGCGAGAGGGACCATCGCTATTGGTCGGCTATCTTGGCATGCAGCGCTGAAAACTCCACCGCGCGGGAGTCGACGGCTGCTCGAATCTACTCGCCCAGGGCGCCGTCATTCACGACGCCGATGTTCTTTTCCAAGAGGCGCCGCTATCGCGCCCATGAAGACATCGGCGAAGTGACCGCGCGCGAGCACATTGCGTTCGCGGCGCGCAGGTGGGCCCGCCGCCAGGGCCTCGGGGCGCGGCGACTGCCGGCGGCCCTCTCCCTCGCCGCGCGCGAGCGATGGCGTGCGCCGCGCGGGCGTCGCCCGTCGCGCGCGCCCACTGCGCCTCCAATGCTTCGTTGCCGATGCAGATCTGGCGGTCGGCCTTCGCCAGTCACCAACTACCTGGAGATGGTGCCAAGTCCGCGCGATGCTCGATGGAGACGGGCGGAGATCCGCCGAGCTGCCGCCAGAAGGCCAACGGCCTTGGCGCAGGCTGCGCGGGCGCGCCATCCCGCGCGGCCGCCGACGCGCGCGCCGCTGCGCGCGGGCGAGAGGCTGGCCGGCAGCGCCGAAGCGAAGGCGTGCCAAGCCTTCTGCAGCAGGGCCACGCGCTCCATCGCGAATGGACAAGTGAACTGGGGACTTGAATTGCCGCGCTTTCGCTTGAGATTCCCCGAAATCGTCGCTCAACTTTAGCGTGTCAAATGAGATCATCGCTTTGTTCTTCTTTTCGTCTGACTTCGCATGTGTCAACCAGAAGTGGGCGATAGTCGATATATCTATTCAAGTTGATATTCGCGTTGCGGTCAGCAAGGGCATCCCCCCTAGGTATTCGTGCTCGCGCTTGACGCACGCGCAGTTAATGTGAGCCCTGCTGATATGACGACACCCAGGCTCTGCGATGGGGAACTGCGGTCTAGCTGCGGACATCCTGAAACGAGCATCGATATTCTGTTCTGCGTCATGACACTGCGCGCCATGCGCTCCGATCTTCACGCCGCCGGCTCTCGCGCTGGCAGCACTCAACAATCTGACATGGTACAAGCCGAGGTGCCTCTCGACCTGCCCCCGGAATTCGCCCCCGCATCGCCCGCTGGAGAACTCGGGAGGAGCGCGCCCAGAGCAGTGCCAGCCCAGCGGCCAACGTCTGCGCCATCCCAACACCGGCGGGGGCCCTCGTACCCGGCTGCGCGATGACAGCAGCCGGAAAGCGCAATGCACGTACAATCCAGACTTGAGTCGCGCGGCGAAAGTCAGGACACGCGCCCGCGAAAATCTCGAAGTAGTTGCCCGCGACGGCGCGCTCGGCGGCGCCCCCCCCACCTCTGCGCGCCCGCGAGACCGCGCCCAGCATCGTTGAACATAACTTGCAAAATCTATGTCTTGCTCTTGAGTGACGTGATGGCGTTCTGCCTGTAGCTAGCTTCTCCCTGCCGCGGCAGCAGCGATCGCGCGCTGGCTGAAGCGCGTCGAATGCTGGGCAAGACCTGGCCCAGCTCGTCCTGCAAGGGGCGCTCGCGCCCTGTCCCAGGCGGCGCGGTCATGGAGGTACTGGCTGGTCCAATGCCCCGCCGTTGTCTGCCATCGGCAGGTGGCTGGTGCCGCGCTGCGACGCGGGGGCGCCGAGCGCGCCCATGCCGACCGCCCTGCGCTCCCTGGCCGCGCTCTCCTCGCCTCCTCGTCGGGCCTCTCGGGGGCGGCGCTGCGGGCGCGGGCCGTCTCGTCAATGGGGCGCGCCCCCGCGGCACAGGCCATCCGCGCGATCTGGCCGATGCCGCTGGAAAGCTGCTTCATCAAGGCCTCCGCCTCGGCGACGTGCTGGGCAGGGTCCGCCCCGCCCGCTTGCGTCGCCTTCAAGACCGCGTACATTGCAGATCTCAGCATCTGAACCCAGCCGGCCGGCCCCGCTCGCCATCGGAATCGGCTGCTGGAGGCTGGCCAACTCAGCCTGAAGTTGCTTCTGCTCGACCCCTGCCTCAATATTCTCATGGTTCGCTCGGGCGATCCCCTGCTGGCAGTCGGCAACTCTCTTCTGCGACCTCTCAGGCACAGTGCCGAACGACCGCCGGCGCGTGATGGCAAGCTTCGCCGCCAGCAAGCGCCCCTGAAGCTGCTTGCGCTGGGCGTCAAAGCCGTCGGTGGGGAACGCTGCAAAAGCGGCCTCGATCTGCCTGACATGGCTGTCGCTGGTCACCTGCTGCCTCTGCCTCTGAGCAGCGGGCGCGGCCGCAGACGGCGGCGGCCCCTGATCGCCAAAGTCGCAAGCGAGAGATCCTGCTGGAGACGATCGATCTTGCCTCTCACCTCGCTGTACGAGGCGCGACTACTCGTCGCGCCTTCGCCCGCCCGGGCTTGGTGGCAGCCGACATGGGGAGCTGGCGGCTGCGAGGTCGTACTCCGTCCGATCTTGAAGCCGCGCTTGGAGCACTTCTTGTTCCAGCGCCACTCCGACGAGCATAATGACAACGGCCGCCCCTGGAGCTGCCTGTGGGAAGAGTTGTGCCATGGTGCGGTGGTGCTCCAGCTGCGTGACTGCCGCGCTGCGCGGCCGCGCTCCACGAGGCGCGCCCGTCTTGCTGGTCAACCATCCCGCCGAGGAAGACTGGTGGGGCGGGCCGCCGTGGGCTGGGAGAGCGGGCCGTAGGCTGACGGTGTGGTGGCGCAAACTGTCATGGCCCGACAGGTTGAGCCAAAATGGAAACGGGGGAGTGATGATGCAGAAATATCCGCCGGTCCCCACTTGCCAGGGATCAAAAAGGACACGTGAGACAATTGGCTGTCCCCCTCTCCCTTTCCCACCCCCCAGGGGGGCCCAAATTGTAATTTAAGGGGGGGGGGGGGGGGGGGGGGGGGGGGCAAAGCTCGCGAATGCACCCCGGCGGCTCTCCGGAGCCCCCTCCAGAGAGTCCCCGCCCAAGAGGGTCCGAGCACAGCGCCGAGACAGTCCAAGTGAGCGTCGAGACGGCAGAAGGTATAAAATGAAGCCAGGATCGAGGCCAAGTTTGACCGGGATAAAAATCATGCTCGGTTTTTCTAATCACGGGGGGCGCCGCCGAACGGGCCTGCCACGCCTTGGGCGCCATCGGCTTCGCGAGGGAGGAAATGCGACCCGGCGCGGACGAGGCCACGGCGCGCATTTGGCCACGCGCGCGCCCGAGGGAATTCAGCGCCGAGCGCCTTTCACTCCAGAAGACCCGACGTCGACAAAACAAACTGGAGGCCACAAGGGGGCCCCAGAGAGGCGGACCGCCAAAACAATCACGCAACCAACGCAACGCCAAAAAAACACGAGTAAATGTCAAAAGGCGCAGTACTCAGTGACCTCTTCGGCCACGCAACACCGCGATAATGCCCGAGAAGGCATTGGAAAAAGGGCCCGCGCGCGGCCCGGCGACTTCCCCGCGCCGCCCAAGGGTTCCCGAAGCGCGCCGAAATAACCGCAGGGAAAAGATCGGAAAGTCTTCGGAAGGCCCCCGCACCATGCAATATCCGCCACCGAATAATCTCGCGGACACCTAGCGTGTACGCGCGGGCGTCCACCATGGATGCCCAACTCCGGTTTCGGAGACAATCGCGCGCAACCGCCCGGAGGCTGCGGCAACCTCGCGATTGGCCCAGGGGCCCGCGGGCCCCAGGGAATCGAAGACCGAGTTCGCAACTCCGGAAGCGTCGGGCTCTGGCTGCCCCTCGACGAGTCCACGCTCATGGACACGCTCTCTGCGCTGAGCGTGGACCGCGCCATCCGCCGGTACTTCTGCGCGACGACAGCCAACTGGCCGCCGACGGACAAGGCGTTTCTTCTCCGAGCTGCGCGTGCCACCGAAAACGTACAATAGCCCCGGGCTCGGAAAGAAACGCTTTCGAAGCATTTTCAGGCAGCCAGCGTCGTGGCTGCCGACCCGCCGCGCGCCGACCGCGAGACTAGCTGGGTCCACTACGTCCACGGCGGCGGGCGGGCGCCCAAGAGAACTGTCGCCACGGTGCGCGCGGCGGGGCGCCCGCCCCAATGCAACCGCACATGCGGCCTCCATGGCGCCACAGGCGTAATATGTGTGACGCACTCTCGGGCCCCCCATCAACGCATCGGCCAGCGCCCAAGTCCCTGAAACGCAAACCTACTGTGCCCCCCATGCAAACCGTGCACACTCTCCCAAGGCTCGTGCACACCAGCTTTTCTGCCCGCCCTCAACAGTTTAATTGAGAGCCCATGTGTTACTTGGGCTCCTCAAGCCCTCGAAAAGTCCCTGGGGAACTTCTGCGAATGCGCGCGCTGCGCTCCACAATTCGGCGTTCTAGTTTTCTTTTGGAACTCTCCCAGAATCTCTGGTTCCGATTTGTCCCGATCTTCCGCTCAACTCAAGATAACCCCGCGACAGTCCAATATGGCTTCAAGACAAACCACGAGGCCCCCAGCCCGGCCCGAGTGCTCCTAGAGAACCACCGAGATGCCCACAAGACACAAAAATCGCCCCATTCCCTTCTGAAAGTGCACATGTTCGACATGCTCGCGTTTCTCGTTTTGACAGCGTCCAATGCGACCCAAGAGGCTCCCAAGATTGTCCCGAGACGGCCCATGAGGCCCCCAAGAGGGCCGCAAGACGGCCTAATACGGCCCCAGGACTGCCGCAGCGGCCCCTACGGCCCAAGAGGAGAAATACGAACTGACAGATCGAGCCGTTCCACCCGTCATGGTCCCAGCAGCCCTCCAGAGACCAGAGACCCCCGAGGCGCCCTCAAGAGGCCCCCACGAGTCTACGAACAACCAACCACGTGCCCCCCAAAGCCATCTAAGAGGTCACTGAGAGTCATTCCAAGAGACCCTGATATGCATCCTAGAAGCTCTTCCGCAAAGCTCCCAGCCAGCCCCACGAGCCAACCAGGAACAAACAAAAGGATCCCCCCCGAGCCTACACCGGAGGCCTCAAAGAAGACCACAAGCAGCCCCGTGACAAACCCCAACAGCCCCATTCCGCCTGCAACTCCGTCCTTCCCACTTCCGCTCCTCCTTCCTCCTCCTCCTCATTATCCTGTTCATCCTCCTCCTCCACCCGCGTGAACAAAAACACCCAGCCACTCCAGCGCCAACGTAGCCTACCGAACGCCCTGGACGTCTCTACTCCGCTGGGCGTCGGTTGAAGGGGATAAGCCACTTATACAATGCATGATATTCATAGGAAGGAAGGAGGGGGTGACTTATCATGTAATTGCTTGACACATCGTCGAATGATTGGTCGACAGAATTGCCGGTTGATAATCTTTTCGGTTGGGTGTTGTTCAGCTGATGAACGGCGGCCGTTCGGCCTGTTGGTCGGCTGGCTGCTCTGTTTGCAAATCGAACGGTGATCTGGATCAATCAGACTTGCAACGCCTCGAATGATGTTAGCACATTGTGACGCGCACTGCCCGAACAAAAACCACTCGGACGCGAACCACAGATGCCACGATTGGCACATCAGTCGGCATATAAAGTCGGCCCGTATAATAAGGATGCGGGATAAGGATGCAAGGGCCTTGGAGGGAGAGAAGGTGGGGCAATTGAAGGGGAACACGAAAAAGAAGATAGCTAAGACAAAGATCGGAATGAACAGAGGGGGTGATACAGGAGGGTGAAGGAGGAGACGGGAGGATACTCATAGAGAAGGGGGGCCGATGAGGGGATGATGGAGGAGGGATCGGAGGAATGGTTCCCGAATGCAGGCCTGCAAGACGAGCGAGTGGCTCGACTCTGGCATGCTCTGCCCCTCCCCCTCGGCCTTGACCCACCGAGACCTTCCCACGCAGAAATCCAGAAATGACCGCCAAGTCCAGTCAGATTCGCTGACTGCGTTGACAACCCTTCACCAGAATTAATTATGTTGCTCCCATCGTACTTAAGGACCACCTCCCCGACATTATTTCGAGCACCTGGAAACAGTGTCGGAACAGTGTCGAACGAGTGTCCCCCAGGGCCCGACACGTGAAAACCCTCGAGTTTCGGTACTTTCTTGGTGCTCGAAATCCTTTCTGGTGTCCCAACCGAAAGTAGGTTGGAACGGGGTCCCCCGAAGTCTCGACCCATTCCCCAAGACTGGCTTTTCATCCGGAGTCGTTTTTTGACGGTCCGGGGGCCCCGCGAGGGCCCCTAGAGGCCGAAAACTGTGCAGAAGTTCCGCCTTGATTATCCAGAGGGTTGGATCTCTGGGACCCTTCAGCAGACCCCCCCCCGCTGACCTGGCGTGGTCTGTGCGCCTGGCGCCGAGCAGCTGCCTGCCCCCAGACGGGGCCAGCAGCTCCAGCAGCATCCCGGCGGGCGCCAGCCCAGAGGCGGCCTTCTCGGGAGGCCCGCCCCGCGGAGGGACCTCCTCCTCCTCCTCCTCCTCCTCCTCCTCCTCCCTTCCTGCTCCTCTCCTCCCCCTCCTCCCCTCCTCCTCCTCCTCCTCCTCCTCCTCCTCCCCCTCCCCCTCCTCCTCCCTCCTCCTCCTCCTCCTCCTCCTCCTCCTCCTCCTCCTCCTCCTCCTCCTCCCCTCACCCTCCCCTCCTCCCTCTCCTCCCCCTCCTCCCCCCTCCCCCTCCTCCCTTTCCCCCCTCCTCCCCTTCCTCCTCCTCCTCCTCCTCCTCCTCCTCCTCCTCCTCCTCCTCCTCCTCCTCCTCCTTCTCCCTTCCCCCAAATGTGGCGGGCCAGATGCCGAACCGATGTGACCACGGTTGCGCGGTGACCCCAGGCCTCGACCTGGTTGGGTTTCTGGCTGGGAAGAGAAAAGCCGGGGCCCATCTCGTGGAGATGCGATACAGTGCGGGCGCGGCCACAAGAAACCCTCGCAATAAACCCAAACCTGAGAACCCGTGCGCGAGGTGCACCTGAAGGGAAACCTGGGGCACCCTGAACGCAGTAGCTCCTTCAACGGCTGCGGGACGTCGCGGCACAGCGCGAGGAACGAAGAAACCCAGGATACCCGGGCGAAAAGCAAATGGTTTCTTGATGCGCGCCCTCACTGTAGGGGGTGCGTCCGAACAGCCCCCCCCCCCCCCCGGGGGGTGCTCTCCCCGAGTTCCCCCATCTCCATCTCGTCTGCACGGCCAGCACCTTGGGAGGAGCATGGGGGCCGGAGGCGAGAGATCGCCCACGGCCATCGGCCCAGGCAGAGGACGGCCCATGAGCTCCGCCCCGATCCTCGGACCTCCAGCGCCGTGATCACTCCGTGACGCGGGCCACCTGGGCTCTCGACCCCGACCATTCAAGAATCGAGCAATTACACAAGTCAGCGCAACCCAACCTCTTTCCTCCTCGTTCCTCCTCTGAATGTTATCTGGGTTCTAGGTCACCTGATTTCGCGCATCGCATCCCGTGATGCGCGACACGCGATAGTCTTGCCCTCGCGCCCACGCGCCGCCCCATTGGAGAAGGGCGGCCGCCCTGGCTCAGACCGCGACGCTGGCAGCGCGATGATCCTCGCGACCCTGGGGGTGAGACCTAGTATTTCCTTTTTCCCGGAATGGTGAAGGCGGAAGAACGACATGGGTCTGCATGGCCATCCTCCTCCGAAGCTCCTCCTCCCGGGCCGGCTTCTTGCCGCTCTCTGGCCCCGAAGAGGCCCAACTCGAAGAGCGACCCGGCGCCTGGATCCTTCCGTGACGGAGAGCAGGTTGGACAGGGAAGGCGAGGTCGAGGAGCAGGGTATCCAGGACCAGGCCGAGGGGGGTGGGACCGCCCCACTATCCTCCTCCTCCGCCCCCGCCTCCTCCTCCTCCTCCTCCTCCTCCTCCTCCTCCTCCTCCTCCTCCGCCCCCGCCTCCTCCTCCTCCTCCTCCTCCTCCTCCTCCTCCTCCTTCTCCTCCTCCTCCTCCTCCTCCTCCTCCCTCCCCCTCCTCCCCCCCCCCCATTTTCCCTCCTCCTCCTCCTCCTCCTCCTCCTCCTCCTCCTCCTCCTCCTCCTCCTCCTCCTCCTCCTCCTCCCCTGAGCCCCAGCGCCGGCCTGCACGTCGCGGCAGAGGTCCCCGAAGCTCTGCCCGGGGTCCACGGCGAGCGGCCGCTGGCGCGCGCCGCGCACGCCGGGCGGCAGCCGCAGCGTCAGCCGGCAGGGCCCGCGAGGCTCGCGGTGGCCCTGCCTGCGGGGAGCGGGCGCTCTGATGATGGGCCGGTTTTCCACGTTCACCACCATAAGCTGGAGGGGAAGGAGGAGGAGGAGGAGGAGGAGGAGGAGGAGGAGGTGGAGAAGGAGGACGAAGAGGAGGAATATGAGGAGGAGGAAGAAGAAGAGGAGGAGGAGGAGGAGGAGGACGAGGAGGAGGAGGTGGAGGTGGAGGAGCAGGAAGAGGAGGTTTTCCACGTTCACCACCATAAACTGGAGGGGAAGGAGGAGGACGAGGAGGAGGAGGAGGAGGAGGAGGAGGAGGAGGAGAGGATGAGGAGGAGGAGGAGGAGGAGGACGAGGAGAAGGAGGAGGAGGACCCCCTCCCCCGTCCAACTTATGGCGGTGGTGCTGGAAAACAGGCCCATCATCTGAGGCACGAAAAGCAAGAACGTTTTGCCTGCGCGGCAATGACCTGGGGACTTCCTGGGGGGGGCGTCGTGGGAACGGTACTCTCATTTTTCAGGGGGAGAGGAGGCAAGCGCGGACAAAATCTGCAGCTTCGCGTGCACTCCAAGCGGGTACTCGGGCCAATTGTTTGTTTGACCGGCGGGTCGAGAGCGAGCCTCTTCCGATAGAAGCTAAGCGGGCTACGCACAGCTTTAAATAGTATAGGGGGGGCGAAAGAAGGTGGGGCCTCACGTCAAGGCCAATAGAGGGCAAAGCCCTGGGATCAGGCGGTGCCGAAATCGAAGTGCAGGAGAAGGTACGCTTTGGACAGGAACCTGGTGGCGAAGTCCCGGGAGGCGAAAAGCCGGAGGTGGTGCCGTTAGCGGCGCTTGTTGTACACCAGCCCCATCAATTGCGGGAGAGGGCGCGCCACGCAACCAGGACGACGTCCGAGAGGAAGAAGAGCACCACTGGGTCGGATAGCAACGTTGTGCCACCAACAAATATGATGCCGTAGAGGCCCAGGCCGTGGTAGTGCCGAACACAGAAGTGCCGAAAGCAAAACCGGGGAGAGGAGCGCGACATCAGCGAGCGGACGGTAAAAGGCGATGAAGCCCGACGAGGCAGCCACTCGGCCAGAGCAGCCCCGCTGAAGCCCAGGATCAACTTTCCAACCCTGGGCTTTCTCTGGCTCGATCCTCGCGAGTGTGCCCCAATCGGGCTTCGCACCCGATCGGGACCGATGCGCAAGGGTCCGGCCAGATGAGGCGGGCATGCGCCCTGCCTGTGGGTAGCGAACACTTGGGCGCCCGAGTTATCCGGGGTAACTCGGGTCCGGGGTAACGCAGGGTTGGATTCCCGAAAAACGAACCCGAGTTAGCCCTGACCCGAGTTACCCCCGACGATTTGGGGCTCTGGGCGCCCGAGTTGTCCGGGGTAACCCGGGCATGGGGCAACTCGGGTTCGGAATCCCGAAAAGCGAACCCGAGTTAGCCCTGACCCGAGTTACCCCTGATGATTCGGGGCTCTGGGCGCCCGAGTTATCCGGGGAAACCCGGGCATGGGGCAACTCGGGTTCGGAATCCCGAAAAGCGAACCCGAGTTAGCCCTGACCCGAGTTACCCCTGATGATTCGGGGCTCTGAGACGCTGTGAGGGCCAGGCCCCGGCCTCGAATCCCGCAGCCTCGAGCTCCGAAGCGCGAGGCCTCCCGGCGCTTCCCTCGGCCCCCGGCGGCCTCCCAAAGCCTCGCCATCCCCTCGGGCGCCCGCGCCTCGCCTCAAAGGGGCGGCCTCCGGGGGGGCGCCCGGGTCCCCCCGAACATGGCCGCTGGAGGCCCGAGCGACGGCTCGAAAGCAGAACAAGACCTTGGGAAGCAGGGTCAGTTCGACTACACGCAAGAGTAAAACGACGCGAAGATCGGGACAAAATCGGATCGGGATGACTCGAAATCTCTGAGAATCGGCGGGTTTGGAGGATGTATTGGGCGCCGCGGCCGCTCCAGAGCGTTCCGGAACGCTCTGAGAGCGCTCCGGAACGCTCTGGAGCGATTTATCCCGATCCTGGCCCTGTGTTAAAGAGTGACCCTGGGTCAGAGTGGCCTTTGGTGCGCAGCTTCTGGGGGACCGCAGGGGGAACCAGACACCAGCGCGCAAGGCGCCACTATCGCATCGCGTTCGGCGATCTGGGGAACCCATGGGGCCCGCGCCAAAGGTCACTCCGGCGAAAGGTCACTCTCACGTCTAGTCGGTTAGTGGGGGACCGGCTCAGCATCGACATCGATCGGCCGGATCGGTCGGATGGAACGGACCGGGCGGGCCAGAATCGATCGTCAGGGGGGGGCCTGGACGCATCGGGCTGGCCAGAATCGACGTCGAGCCGAGTCGGTCGGATCGACCTGGGCCCTGCCCTTCTGGCCCGCGGTGCCCCCAGTGGGGAGGAACGTTAGGGGGGGGGGACCGGCTTAGGGGGCAGCTTTTCATACGTAGGATGTTTAGCATATCTATATATATATATATATATATATATATATATAGATATGTGGTTTTTTAAAAACATGTTTAATGTATGAATGAATTTACGCATGAACTCATCGCTGTAATACTAGATCCCCGCATTTTTAATACACGATCCGCACGCGGAGCATGTATTAAAAACGGCACTGTAGGGAGGGGGGAAACATCGACCTAGGATCGGCCGATTCATCGGCGACATGCCCCCCGGTAGCGACTGCGACACGGTCCTGGGAGGGGGGGGCCACCGGGCCCCTGCCGGGCCCCTGTCCGCTCGCGGTGGGCCTGCCTGTGGAGACCGGGTGTGGCGACGAGACGAAGCGGGTCTCACGCGATCTGGGACAGAGTCAGAGTGCAAGTCAGCGAGCCTCGAGCAGCCACAGCAGCCTCCCTGGATGAAGCGATGCTTTCGTTTTCCTTACCATCGCAGTCGTGAAGGCATGACTGCGGTTTCACCTGCTCACCTGCTCACCTGACATGGCGACCTTCATACGCGGCTTACGCGGGCCGCAAGCGCGGCACACCGCGTGGCGCGCACGCGCGACCTCACGTGGAAAGCTGACGCGCGAGTGTCCGCGCAGCCCACCCCCTTTTTTCGTCGCCCATTTGAATCTTAGGCTCGTCTCGTGACGACCCCGGCGCCCGCTTCCCATACAGCGTGGACCGATCAGCAGTATGTCTTCTGCGGCCTGGCCACTGGTGGATGTCAGTGCTCAACAAGACGCGCCTGCCAGCTTACCCGAGCGGTCGGCTGGGGGCCGGGGCGAGCACCGATTGCAGCTGGCTCCCCGCTGCCCTGGCTGTGATGACAGCCGATCGGCCTTGTTGCAGGAAGCGAGCACCTGCCCAGCAGGTTCGCGGTCCGCGTCACGACGACGCTGGCGCCGATCTCTAGCACCGCGTGGATCGTGCAGCCTTTGACGATCGATCGCTTTCCGATCCCCAGGTCGTTCCATACGGGGCAGTTTTTAATACATGGGACTTCTAAAGATCTAGGATGTTTAATCCATGAGTAATCTATGAATCAATTGATGCACGAACTCATCGTTGCTTTCAATACTAAATCCCTGCATTTTCAATACATGATCCGCACGCGGAACATTGTCTTAAAAACGGCACTGTATGGCCCAGGTGTGGGCAACCGCTGCGCTCTCAGCCTTGGGCGCCCACCCGCAGCGGGCTTGCCGCCGCGCTGACGCGACACGTGCAACTACCGTGCATTTTTTTTTTATCCGCGGGTCGAGAGCGAGCCTCTTCCGGTCGAAGCTAAGCGGGCCGCGCACAGCTTTAATTGACAGAGGGGGGAAGGCAGAAGGAAGGGCCTCACGTCAAGGCCAAGAGGGGGCAAAACCAGCGACTACCGTACAGGTCGTCGTGCCTCCTCTTCCCCGGACCTCTGACCTCCCAGAGTGCAACAGGCATGTAGCCATCCAGATCTGCCAGGACTCCTGGAACCTCGACCAGGACGTAAGTTCAATACTGGTGCTAAAACTGAGCATTTTCTTAGGGTGGAGGGCTCAGTGTGGAATCCATATGGGCTTTTGCACCTCGAGAATCAATCCGTCTTGTGATTCACCTTCTGCAAATTCAAGCCTGGAATATCCATCGAAACGGCATTTTAGATTTCACCCTTTGCTCTCCACCCAAAATGCTCGGTAAAATCGGGGCCCGACCACAAGAAACCTTTCACAAGAAACCCAACCCTGAGACCCCAGGGTCGTGCATCGATGAGTGGCGCGCTTTCCATTGCAAAACCATCGAAACCCAAGACACCAGGGATACCGCTACTCCCCGAACCTCTCCCGGGGTGCGTTCTGACCAGGCTTTTGAGGCGAATCCAGCGGTGGCGACGAGGGCCTTCCAGGAGGCCCCCAAAAAATGGGAAAACGGGCGCAGGGTAGAGGTATGGGCACCTTTCCCTCCTCTGCACTCTCCGGCTCCTCTGGAAACGTCAGGGTCCTCCCCCCTCCCACCGCGACGCCCCGCGCGAGACCGCCTCCGCGCCCTCGCGCCGTCGCGCCGTCCCCGTGGGAGAGACGGGCAGCCGCGCTGGCCCAGACGCGCGACGCGCGGGGCGCCATCGTCTGCGCTCCCCCGCAAGAGACTGACCATTCGTGGTCCCCAAACGTGGTGGTGAGAACACCCGGTGGTGAGTTTTGGGCGATTCGGGTAATGGTTTTCGAGCGCTGGCTGGCCCAGGAAACGCAAAACCTCGTGGCGACCGCGTGTCCCCAAACCCGGTGGTGACCCAGAATCATTTTTGGGGGGAATCGGGGTCACCACCGGGTGTCTCACCACCTGGTCTGGAGACCACCAGAACCAGGGGACTCCTGGATGGGGTCGGAGCACACGTCGGTCGGAGTCCCGGCGAGGCTTCGGGCTGCGCGCAGACGAGGCCCCCCTCGTGCGGCAACCGGCGGGAGCCTCCCGTGCCACGCAGTCCCAGTGGGCCTCAACCAGCCCTCCGAGCAGCGCGGGGCGGTCCCAGCAGGAGCGCCCCTCGGGCGCTCCGCGCCCCAGGGCTGGGGTGCCGAGACCGCCCGAGGCCACACGTCGGTCGGAAGAAGCAGGCAGAAACAGGAAGCAGGAAGGCGGATGTGGTGGACTGGGCCCAGGGCCTCCAAGAGAGTAGCACAACACACAGCAGAAGCATGCCGATTCTTGAGGCAGGAGGGCGCTTGAGGTAGACTGGGATCTGGGGGTCAAAAAATGCCTACTTTCAACGACCGGCGTGTGCAGTCAACCCGTGTAATGAGGGTAAGGATGCGGTAAGGACCGCAAGGGCCTTGGAGGGCCGCGTTAACGTTTGTCGACCGGCGCGGTAAGGATGCAAGGGTCTTGGAGGGCCGCGTTAACGTTTGTCGAACGAGGTTGGCCAGCGGAGGTCGCTGAGGATGGGCCGGAGGGCCAAAGGGTGCAATAGCAACCTTGGAAAGGCTGCCCATCCTGACTATGCGGGTTGACTGTGGATGGGGTCGGAGGATCGTGCCGCATGGCCGATGCTTCGCCGATGTATCGGCGACGCATCGTCGACTGCATCGCCGATGCACTGGCGATGCATCGTCGACGTCGGCGATGCATCGGCGACGTCGGCGTGAAGCAAATCGGGCTCCACATCGAGCCGCATCGCAGGTGCATCGGCGATGCGGCGCGACCACAAGAATCCTTCCGCAAGAAGCCCAACCCTAAGACCCCAACGTTTTTTGGCGTGGGAGCGTCACGCCGAGACCATCGAAACCCAAGAAACCCAGGGCACCCTTGAGGCGAGCAAGGTGTTTCTTGGCACGGCTCTCCACTGTAACGGGCGAAGAACAGTACATGATGAACTTTTCCGCCGTCGGGGACGCCTGTCCCAGGGCGGCTGGAACATTTATAGTTTACATCCTTACGGTGGCACCGTCGGGTTATAAACTGTCCAGCCGCCCAGGTGCAGGCGTCCCCGACGGCGGTAAAGTTTCTTTCATACCGTTCTCTTCGCCCGCTGAATGAGCTGAGGGTCCTCAAAGGGCGAGGTGTGGCGATGCCGACCGGTGCGTCCTCTCCCTGGACCTCTCCAGGTGTACGTTCGGACCAGGAGTCCGAGGCGAACCCAGCCTTGGCGACGAGAACTCTCCAGCTGTGGTTCTCGGGCCAGAGCTCGAGCCTGCGAAGGCAGTTCGGGGTCATGTTGGCAACCACGGAACGCTCTCGGCGAGGCGCAGCTGCCGGCAAACGTCCCGAGGATGGAAGCCCTCAGAGGACCGACCTTTCCCTGGCATCGTTCTGTGCTTCGCAGTCGTGATGGTCTGCGACTTTCTGCTTCACGGTCGAGTCTCTGCGTGCAAATAGTCACTCTGCAACTCTCTCTCTGCATGTTTACAAAAAGGTTGGCCAAGCGCCACGCTCTGCTGCCCACGCGCCATTCCGGATGCTCGTCTCCTCGCTCGCCCGACGAGCGCGGGCTCTTCGGCGGGATCTCGAGGGGGGGGGGGGAGCCGAGGGGGCCCTCTTCGGCGGGCGCCCGAGGGGCGCACTCTCACCAGGACTCCCTGGCGGATCCAGCCGCGGCGACGAGGAGCAGGTGCCCGTATGGATTGAAGCCCGGCCTTCCCCTGACGAGCGGGGGGCTCTCGGGTCGGGCGAAAGGGGGGGATAGCAAAGGGGGGTTTGAGAATGAGCTCCAGTAGCTGATTTTCCCAGCGCCTCCCGGCGCCGGAGGCGGCTATGTATCGAGGAACGGGCCCCTCGGTGAGGCCGAAACCAGCTGCATGCAGCACATTTCGTAATTACCCCCCGCTTTCCCAGTCCACCCCTTTCGTCGGGCCCGAGGCTCTCTGGCGGCACCCCGAGGGGGGCCAGAGCCGATCGGGAGCGGCAAAGAGGGGGGTGTCCAGGAGGGGGGGGTGCAAATCATGACGGGCGGCATGTGCGCGGCCCAGCGGGGGGGCCTGGGACGTAATAAAACAAGAAGAGGCGCCATGAGATCTGAGGAAAAATCATGGCCCGCGCCATGATATCCACTCCCCCCTAGTCATCACCCCCCTCTTTTCCGCTCCCGAGCCGAGGGGGGCTCTCTTCGGCGGGCTCCCCGGGCCGCCCCTCGCGGCGCACGAGCAGGTGCACCCCGCCCGCGGCGAGCTGCAGGTGCAGCACGAGCGCGGCCGTGCCCGGGCCCGCCGCAGCGAGGTGCGCCTCGCTTTGAGGTGACGACGACGACGACAACGACGACGACGACGACGGCGACGGCGGCGACGGCGACGGCGACGGCGACGGCGGCGGCGGCGGCGACGGCGGCAACGGCGACGGCAACGGCAACGGCGACGGCGACGGCGACGGCGACGGCGACGGCGACGACGACGACGTCGTCGTCGTCGTCGACGACGACGACGACGGTGACGACGACGACATTCAGCCCTCCTCCTCCTCCTTCCTGCATTTCCCTCTGCCTCCCTGCCCTCCTCACCCCAGCTTAGCTCAGGGCAGCCCCGATGAGGCGTCGTTGGAGCCAAACCCCCAGGCCAGAAAGAGGGGGGGACATGTCTCCCAAATAGAGGGGCCATCAGTGGACTGCCGTGAAGACGAAGGCAAGATGAAGGTAGATTTGCATCGGACATCGACGAACATCTGAGGGCTGGCGGGTCTACAGGCGGGTCTATAGGATGCATCGGGCGCCGCGGCCGCTGTGGACTGCTCCTGAAAGCTCTAGGAGCGTTCTGGAGCGACTGATCCTCACCCTGGAGCTGCTTAGAGAAGGGGGAGAGTAAGGAAGGGGAGGTTGACGACCAGCAAGGAGAATCCGACTCTGCCTCGCTCTACCCTCGGCAAGAACGATGTCAAGCGGCCGCGCACTCGCACGAAGGAGGCCTCGCTTCTACCCCCTGCTCCCGCTGCCTTTCATTGCGCTGCACTGTTGGCGGGCTGCCCGCTGGAAACACTCCTTGGACTCCATGGCCTCAGGGGGCGCCCAACACAATGCTCTCCCCATTCTCAGTCCGTGGATGCTGACCCGTCAATATCCGACTCTGGCGATGCTGCTGGACATCCGACGATCAAAACCTCCACGGCAACTCCAAAACAAGCAACGCAAATCTCTCGAGGTGTGGGCCCGGCACCTCGCACGTCCGAGGCAGAAGGCCTCCTCATCAGGTCAGTAAGGAAGCAGTGAGAGCCTGTGCCCCCTACGTGGGCTCTTGCCTTGAACCAAACCTGACAATGGACTGATGTGGCCTGGGCAGCCGAGCCTGCTCTTGCGAGCCTTCGTGCTGTCCTTGCACGCGCACGCCAGGCAGCGAGCACGCAGGATTCCCCACCCTAGTGCTGGGCAGGCGCATGCGCGAGACCACGACCCTGCTCGCCGCTCGCGCCAGCGCCCGAGGGGTCAGGGGATCACGCCGCATCGCCGATGCATCGGCGACGTCGGCGCAGTGAAAATTTGGCCTCACACATTGAGCAGCATCGCCGATGCCTCGGCGGTGCGGCGCGATCCTCCGACCGCGCATCAGCTCGGACCTGACCTGGGAGGCTCGGATCCCCCCTTCGGCAAGTTCCCTGGCGTTGGTTTCCGGCGCCGCGTGGATCCGTCAACCTTCGACGATCGGCGGCTTCTCGATCGGCCAGATCGTTTCATAAGCCGAACTCTGGGCCACCGATGGCATTCGACCCCGCACGCCCGCGGCAAGGGCCCAGCCGCGTCGGCACGACGCAGACCTACCCGCACGCCTGGGCAGCGTGTTTTTCCGGCCCGGGTGGCGCTCTCGCCGCCGCGTGACAGGACCCGCATACGAGACCGATGTTGCATCACAGCAGCAATTCGGCCCCTGACTTTCGTCCTGGGTTCGGTTTAGTGAAGTAATGAATTTCGTGGTCCTAACGTGGGAAAAAACATCACTTCACTAATCTGGGGCCCCTGGGGCCTCAGTGGGCCCTGGGGCCCAACATTAGTGAAGTGATGGTTTTCGGGCCTCGGACCGCATCGACCCTCGAGACGCCCCAAAGGCTCGATGACGCCTCCGAAGGCCCCCAAAAGGCGCCGAAGAGGGCTCCTGCACTTGCTTCCTCCGCGATACCTCTGACCACCTCGGCTTCAAGGCCTGTAGTACACGTCAGCGAAGCTGCGCTACAGCCCGAAACGTGAGGGAGAGAACGAACGGCCACTGATCCGCGGAGACACCGAATACCCCAAGCGAGCTAGAAAGAGCAAGCCGTGACACGACTGGGGAACGGAACCTGGAAACCACAATTTGGGCGCCCGAGTTATCCGGGATAACTCGGGTCCGGGGTACCTCGGGTTTGGATTCCCGAACAAGGAACCCGAGTTATCCCTGACCCGAGTTACCCCTGATGATTCGGGGCTCTTGGACGCCCGATTTATCCGGGGTAACTCGGGTCCGGGGTAACTCGGGTCCGGGGTAACTCGGGTTTGAATTCCCGAAAAACGAACCCGTGTTATCCCTGACCCGAGTTACCCCTGATGATTCGGGGCTCTTGGACGACCGATTTATCCGGGGTAACTCGGGTCCAGGGTAACTCGGGTTTGAATTCCCGAAAAACGAACCCGTGTTATCCCTGACCCGAGTTACCCCTGATGATTCGGGGCTCTGAACAATGCCTGTCGGTGCAACTTTGCTCCCGCGGGCCCGCGCCCTACGCAGCGTCGCCAGACCCTCCCCTCCTCGCGGATGCCCCGCGCGGAGCGTACCCGTACCGCCGCGCCTCCGCGGGATCGCGCTCGGGAACCCAGACCGCGAGGGCACGGACACGGATGTGTTCGCCGCTCGTGTCAAGTCGGGCGTGTCCCCCTACAGGGGGATGTTCCACGATAAACAAAAAATACTAAAGAAAAATATCCCCAACTGGCCAAAAAATTGTAAAAATAGTCTCCAGATCATTGTTGGACCATCTTTTGACTATTTTGGAGGATAATTTTCATTTTTCGTCGAGAAGCCCCCTGTAGGGGGACAGGCCCGACTTAACGCTCGTGGACGCTCCCGGCCCGGGCGGAGGGGGGGGGGAGGGCAAACCGGAGGGGGGAAGGGAGAGAAGGAGAGGAGGAGAATAGAACCGAGGGGAGGAGGGGAGGAGACGAGGAGAGGCGGGAGGAGGAGAGGGGAGGGGGAGGAGAGGAGGAGGAGGAGAGGAGGAGGAGGAGGAGGAGGGGGAGGAGGAGGAGGAGGGAGGAGGAGGAGGAGGAGGAGGAGGAGGAGGACACAGCGGCGGGAGCGCCAGGGGCAGCCCGTCGTGGAGGCGGGCGCCGCCGAGGAGCAGCACCATGCGCTCCGCGGGCAGCCGCGTGCGCTGCCGCAGCATCGCCTGCAGGCACGGCCCAGCTCCCAGAGCTTCGGCCGCTCCGAGGAGATCTCCCGACCGCCCCTCCTCCTCCTCCTTTTCCGTCGCCTCCTCCCCCTCCTCCTCCTCCTCCTCCTCCTCCTCCTCCTCCTCCTCCTCCTCCTCCTGCTCCTCCTGCTCCTCCTGCTCCTCGTCCCTCCTCGTCCCTCCTCCTCCCCCGTTCTCCCCCCTCCATTGGTGGGACCTCTGGTGCCTCGCGTCTTGGAGCGATTGGGTCCCTGGGACAGGGCGCCGCGGCACGTGGGCGGACGAGGGGAGGGGAGGGGGGAGGGCAGGGAACGGTCTGAAGCAAGAGGGGAATGTCCTGCTACCTGGAGGGGGGGGGGGGCAGGGAACGGTCTGAAACAAGAAGGGGGGAACGTCCTGCTGACTGGAGGGTTTCACTGCCCCGGCCATCCCTAATCCGCACCCCCTCTTCGACCCCCCCCACGTCCTCCTCCTCCTCCTCCTCCTCCTTCTCCTGCCACGGGAGGCGATCTCCGCGCACCGTGGAGAATCGCTCTGAGGCAAGATCAACCAACACCGAATCGGAAGCCCGAATCACATCGGAGTGTGCGTCGGATCGGTTCACATCGGCACGAGGACGGAATCGAATCGAATCGGCCGCGCCAGGGTGCTCAACAACACCATGCAAGCATCGGGCCACATCGAATCGGGCCATAGTTATCGGAATCGAATCGGATCGGGCCGGCCAGAATTGATGTCGAATCGGATCGATCGGATCAAAACAGGGCCTGCCTTGAGGCTGGCCAGACCGACCCCACGCGTAAACGGTGGGGATCATGGTGAAGACGAGGCGCCAGATGAGTCTGAGACGTACCGACCGCGAGAGCAGTATAAGGATCAGGAGCAGCGAAAAGAGGAACAGCAGCATGAGAGAATCCAGCCCCTCCTGTCGGGGGTGGACAGAAAACCAATTGGCACAACGCCCCCCTTGTGAAGACTGCCAGGGGCACTCCTCGTGCGCACGGCATCGCATTCTGAGTGCACCCCAGCGGGGCAGCTGATCGAGGTCCGAATCAACCGAACGTATCCAGCGAAGCGCACGTCGATTTGCAAAACCGACTGCGGACTGCACCACTACACTCGACTGCCAATGCGGAATGAACCTGTGAAGATTTCCTCGGTCGACTCGTCTGAGTGGGCGTTCTCTCGATGCCCGATCCGATCCGGAACTAGGATCAGCGGCACCATCACCACCAGCGCGAGAAGCCAGACGGGGGGGTCCTGCCTGGTGGTGTTGCGCCCCACTGCCCCGCTTGAGACACCTCCAGCCTCCAGCTCGGGCAGGCTTCGTGGGCCTCCTCGCTGGAGGTGCCCCCCCCCCTGATCAGGCAGAGACAACGCTGCAAGAAGCACCCAGGGAGGGCTCCCCCTTCCCCCCCCCTCCCCTCGTGCGCAAGGGACGACGGGAGATGCCTGAGAGGGGGGGGGCCTTCGCCCCCCCATCCGCCTTTCGTGCACACGGGGACGGGGGGGGAGCCCCCCCCGCCCCTTTCGTGGCCCCCGCCGTCCGGCTTTGTTGCTGGATACCGCTCTATCAAACTTGTGGGGGTCGGCACGGATCTCTTGGCTCGTCGCTGGCAAGCGGAGCGCGCCAGGGGGCGGCGAAAGGAGGCGCCGCCAGTGGGGGATGCCATCACCGCCCCAAAAACTCTGCGCCGACCTTCGCACATCTGTTTATGCAGTGTGTGCTTCCTTCCACTGGTGGTACTTTTTGACGCCCGAGAAGGGGTATGTACGGACAAAATGGGCACACCGCCCAACACCAGATGTTGTCCAAAACCGACAGCGGCCGCTGTTGGGCCAGTGGCATCCTGCCTCAAATGGAGCATCTCCGAAGCGACGTCGACAACGAGAGCTGCTCAGAATGAACAGGACATGCTGCCGGTTTTGTACCTTATTCCCGTACCAAACTTGATCGTCCCCAATGGTTCGGGGATCTGCTGACCTGGGTCAATCCAGACCAGGTCAATCGGGTATTGCAGGACCCTGCAGGACCCTGCCGGATCCTGCACCCAAGCCCGGGTCAATGCGAAGGATCCTGCGGGACCCTGCAGGATCCTGCACCCAAACCCGGGCGAGTGCGGCCCTGGCCCGGCAGGATCCTGCAAGATCGGGCGCTCTGGCTGACCCTCGTTTGCATTGACCCCGGGGCCGTTCTCCTTCCTTCCTCCTCCTCCTCCTCCTCCTCCTCCGCCTCCTCCTCCTCCTCCTCCTCCTCCTCCTCCTCCGCCTCCTCCTCCTCCTCCTCCTGCGAGGGGCAGCGGTGACGCTTCTCCTTCCTCTGGCCCGCGGGACGGAGGCGCCGCTTGCCGCCCCCCCGGGAGGGTCGCCTTGAGGTCGCCGACAAGGCCGCCCTCCGCGCAGTCGAACTCCTCGCGGGGGGGCGCGGCCGCAGCGGTGCTGTGCTGAAGGGGCCCAAGGACACGCGAAGTCGTCGCGTGCTAAGATCTCCGGTAACTGGTTAATAGCCTTTTAATTCGCGCGCGCGGGGCGGCCCCTGGACGAAAAGTACCCCGAGCAGGTCCCAGCCAAGTGGGTCCCAGAGATGGTTTTCCTCCTCGGCGCTGCCTTCCAGGCTTTCCAGAGCGCCCCAGGAACGCCCCAAGAGAGCCCCGAGACGCGCCCGAAACCGTCCGAAAGGCCCCGGGTCGCCGCAAGATCGCTCCAAGACGCCCAAGATGGCCTCCAGACGGCCCAAGCCGCCGCCAAGAAGCCCCACGAGAGCCTCAAGGGGCCGTCCAAGAGAGTCTCAACAACCCAAACTCGTCCCAATTCCTTCCGGAAACTGTATCTGTCGCATTTGCGACTCTTGGGGGCTCAGCGCGTCCAATACTGCCCAAGAGACCCCCAAGATCGCCCCAAGACGGCCCAACAGGCCCCCAAGATGTGCCGAACACGGCCGAAGAGGGCCCCAAGACGGCCCAAGAGGCGCCCAGGACAGCCCAAGACGTCCGCAAGAGGAGACCAGGAGGCGCCCAAAACGACCCAGGGGCCCCAAAGACACCAATTCACGCTGTACTGTAGCCTTCTGTCGGGCGTGTCTCCCTACAGGGGGATTGTCGACGAAAAATAAGAAATACCTCCAAAATATCCCAAAAGGTATAAAAAATAGTCCCCAGACTATTTTTGTATTATTTTTGTAGTATTTTCGGGGTAATGTATACTTGTCGTCGAAAGTCCCCCTGTAGGGGGACAGGCCCGACTGAACTGCAGCCCAGACATAAACTATAGGAAGTGCGGAGAGCAGGGCCGCGCGGGCGCGGCCCGGGCAAACGCCCACCCAGCGCCCGGCTTCGGCGGCCGCGCGGGCCGGCTCGAGCCAGGCGCGCCGAGAGCAGGCGTGCGGGCCTGCAGCGCCGTCCTCCCGCAGTGCTCCCGCGGTCGATCCTGGAGCCTCCGGGGAGAGCGGGGGGACAGAGAGAGAGCGCGGCGGGCGGCGCGCGCGCGCTCCTCCACGGGCGGGGCATCAGGCCCCGCAGTGGCCGCGGCGGGCGCCTGCCGCGGCGCTGCTGGGGGGGGGGGGGGGGCTCGTCCTCCCCCTCCTCCCCCTCCTCCCCCCCCTACCC